ATGAGATAAAATTATTCAAAATAAGGACTCTAGTGACGTGCAAACTTTGTTTTAAATTTCCAAAGGAGAAAAATTGATGGAATACAATTTGTCAAAATAAGGACTCTACTGACGAGCAAACTTTGTATCAAGATGACAAAGAAGAAGAAAAATTGACGGGATAAAACTTCTCAAAATAAGGACTCTACTGACGAGCAAACTTTGTTTCAAATTTTAGATTTTTTTTAAATTTTGTTCTGTACAGATCAGAAACATGGACTCTAAGGCAAGGAAGATTCAAATATAACATAGTTCTCTACGTATATAATACAAAACCCTACGTCTATCCATATTTAAAAAAAAGTGTTGCCTGATATTTGGTGTTACCCAAACAAAAACTCTTACCATATGCAATTGGTGTTACCCAACTGCAACCAATTAATACCTATCCATTACTAATCGAATGCTATGTATATAATTACGAGTTAATTACTAGAACTTCAACAAATCAATTAAATGATAATTAATCTAGAAGTCTTTACAGATTTCAAAACAGAACATCACCATGTGCAACATGGGACGGATTTGGCACGGGAACAAAACATCTGTTTTCGTAAATATAGAGAGAATCAATCTATAGTATAAACACATAGCATTCTTATTTTGAAATTAAATAAATATTATTATAAACTAAACGAAGTTTTACACAATATCCTGTTACGAGTCAAAATAGTAATGGTCAGTTATAGATATTTATTTGTTGAGATAAAATCATATTTTTAGCATTTTTATAATAATAATATATATTTATATATTTCTATTTATTTTCTTCTTTGGCGTTTTGAAAGAAAGTTTGCTAGTCAGTAGAGTCCTTATTTTGAGAAATTTTTTCCCATATATTTTTTCTCCTTCAGAAATTTGAAACAAAGTTTGCTCGTCAGTAGAGTCCTTATTTTGAGAAATTTTCTCCTATCTATTTTTTTTCTTTGGCATTTTGAAACAAAGTTTGTTCGTCAGTAGAGTCCTTATTTTGAGAAATTTTCTCCTATCTATTTTTTTTCTTTGGCATTTTGAAACAAAGTTTGTTCGTCAGTAGAGTCCTTATTTTGAGAAATTTTCTCCTATCTATTTTTTTTCTTTGGCATTTTGAAACAAAGTTTGTTCGTCAGTAGAGTACTTATTTTGAGAAATTTTATCTTATCTATTTTTCATCTTACAATTAGGCATTTTGAAATAAAATTTGCTCGTCAGTAAAGTCCTTATTTTGGGAAATTTTATCCCATTAATTTTTCTTCTTTGTCATCTTGATACAAAGTTTGCTAGTCAGTAGAGTCCCGATTTTGAGAAATTTTTATCCCATCTATTTTTCTTTTTTGATATTGTGAAATATAATTTGCTAGTCAGTAGAGTCCATTTTGAGAATTTTCTTCTACCTATTTTTTTTCTTTGGCATTTTGAAACAAAGTTTGTTCGTCAGTAGAGTCCTTATTTTGAAATTTTTTTTCCTATTTATTTTTTTTCATTGTCATTCTGAAAGAGTTTGCTAGTCAGTAGAGTCCTTATTTTGAGAATTTTTTTCCTATCTATTTTGCTCGTTTAGAAATTTGCGACATCCATTTTTTGTGAGGTATGCCAAAATGTTCAGAAACCTTCAAAACGTCGAAAAATGCAAAAATTTTAATTTTCGATTTTCGAATTTTGAAGATAAAAATATTACATCTTTTTTTATTTTCCAATTTTGTTAAAACGAAAAACAATTGAAAAATGTGAAAATGCCGCCAAGCTAAGCACAGTATAAGTGAAAATGTCGCACAGATTTATTTGCAAATGCGTTTAGACTGTGACTATACGGAAGCACTTTTTCTAACTTTTGTGTAAATTAGGCAGCTATTTTTTTTAAATTGACTTCGAAATCAAATGACGATTGTTAATGTTCTGAAGATAAGTTGATTTATGATTTACATTTGATTTGCTCAGATATAACAATAAGATAGCAAAAATAATGAAAGTTACAGTATTTGTGTAATAATATATTTGAAAACGTTTAAAATTTCTCGAATATTTCATTACGGTACGGGAAGTTCCAGCAATTCGTTTTAAGGCACGACGCCATACACAACTAGTTAAATTTTATTTTATTACGGGAAGTTCCAGCAATTTGCCTCAAGGCACGATGCCATACACCACTAGTTTGCAATGGAGCTATATTCACGAGTAAATGAGATTATTAATTCTTAAGGCATCTCACACAGACGGTTAAATCAATATGGCTATATACATATATAGCGGTTTAATTCGACCGTGAAAATGTCTATTCCTATTTCTATTTATTTTTAAAAGTCCTCTTCTTAAATAACCATTATCTGGTCATTTTGACAAATGTTTTCAATCGTTGTGATAAATGAGTTTTAGCGGCCGTTAAATTTACGACAGTTTTAGCGGAAAGTGTAGTCGTAGTGATTTAATGAGACGTCTGGGAACAAAATGTGGCGCGACCGACAGAAATATTGTTATTTTTGTGAAATTCGGGATAGATTAATATTTGATTTGGCGGATAACAGTTATTTTGAGTTTGATTCTAAGTTAAAAATGTTTTTTGCGGAATTTCTGTACAAAAGACATGTTAAGTGTAAAGGTTGGTGAATGGTATTTTTATATTTATTTGATGCGGATATAAAAGTACTAGCTTATCCCCAGATATCATAACAAATAAAATGCTATATAGAAAAAAAAGAGTGCGCGTAAGTTTCACACGCGATTTAAGTAATACTTTTTTGCTTTTGTACAAGATGGCAATAAATACATCATATAACAATTTTAAATAATGTTTATTAGTAATATGCTAACACTCGTGATGCACACATTTATTAGTTTCAACCATTATACACATTTATATAATGATAAATTATAAATTATATATTTATAATAGCATTAAATATGTATAATGTGTAAAAATAATAATGTAATTAAAGTCATACTTCAAATTCGACATGATCGGTTTGTCATTTTAATTAGCATTTAGGACTTGAACCTTCATTCGAGAAATGAAGTAATTGCGGAATTGATAAATTCTATAATATTCGTTCACACAGTGGATTATGTTAAACAACGCCTAAACAAATATATTGTTTTTGCAACTTCATGTAATTGTGTTTGAAGAACTTCATGCAATTACAATTAACATACATTCATTGACTGCATGTATTTTTTTATCCTCATTCTTTGAACAGCTGTAATATCTGTCTTGCCTAAAAAATATTTTCCATTTTAACAACTTCAAACTACAAGTCCGTTCTTGAATTTATTTTTAGTTTTGCTTGACAGTAGAGTCCCTTTTTAATGTTATTTTTAGATTGCTCGTCAGTAGAGTCCATTTTTCATTAATTTTTAATTTAATCATCAGTAGAGTCTCTTTGTATTTTATTTTTATTTTACTCGTCAGTAGAGTCCCCTTCCCTTTTTCATTTTTAGTTTGGTCGTCAGTAGAGTCCCTTTTTATTTTTGTTTTTTAGTATGCTCGTCAGTAGAGTCTCTTTCAGTATGTTTGTCAGTATAGTCCCTTTTACCTTTAATTTTAATTTAATCATCAATAGAGTTTATTTTTCTTTTATTTTTAGTTTTGCTCGTCAGTAGATTCCCTTTTTCTTTCATGTTCAATTTTGCTCGTCAGTAGAGTCCCCTTTTTCTTTAATTTTTAATTTAATTATCACTAAAGTTTATTTTTTTTTTATTTTTAGTTTTGCTCGTCAGTAGAGTCTATTTTTCTTTAATTTTTAATTTAATCATCAGTAGAGTCCATTTTTGATTTCATTTTCAGTTTGGTCGCCAGTAGAGTCCCTTTTTATTTACGAATAATATAGAAATAATTTATAATCAATAAACTTACGTTTAGTACACGGCACAAATGTTTAATTTTGTTTTATTATTTTCAAGGAACAGGGTAAAATATTCTTCAGATTCAGACATTTTTCATTAAATCAAGATTTGTACTATGATGTAACTTTAAAATGTTTATTTATCTATGCCTATTTTCTTGTTGATATCGGTACGCATACAATGACAGATCTCTAGTCACACACACGACGACTAATCACAATCGACCCGTATAGAAATGATATCATCGAGAACGAATGACCAATCATTGGCACTAGACTCTGCCGTAACGCACTTCCGTTGCATTTGTAAGGATTTACACTCTAGTCGCGCCTAAAGAAGTTTTATTTCAATAAATACACTTTACAACGAGAATATAATTTTGAAATTGAGACAGAAATTAGACTTAGACTGTTTTTTTTTTTTTTTTGGTGTTACCACATGACAGTGTACACTATTGAAGTTAGCCAAGAATGTGCATAATATTAAGCCTTAATTAAACTATTTGAATTTTATAACATTTTTTTCTTCAAGTTATTGTATTAGATAATACTAATGTTAGGCTTAATATTGTTTAATGGTTGTATTTTTATTGTTATTAACTCAATTAAGATAATTTATTTTCTGTAATTATTAAATTTAATCCTGTATCCGTAATATAAATATAAATATAAAAGTTTCATTACTATGTATTGTGTAGTTCTACTTATACTTTTAACAAACATTTTAATGCAATTTATTTCATGACTTGTCATTCTAAAATTAAAACATTGGCATATTTTGGCACCGGTTGAAAGTGGTTTTATCAAAATACAAAATTAGTAGGCGGGAAAGAAATTGTCCGAAACGAATAAAATCAAAATGGTTTAATTTTCTGAAAATTAAACAAAATTTTGAATTTCATTGAAATAACTGGAATCAAATAGAAAGAAATGAAATTCAGAAAAAAATCTAAACATTAGTAAATGCTTTTTCCATAGACCTATTTTAATTTATGAGTATGGTTTTGACTATTAACCCAAAAACAAAAACAAATAATTTTGAGATTTTCTTTACAAGATTTTTATAGCTAAAAAAATATCTTGCTTAATAATTAATGTCTGCAATATTTTTATATCGTTTTTAATTATATATTTTCCACTTTTCAGAATATCGGCGAAGCCTATTCTTCGATTCAAGAAGAAGAATTTCTTCACTTTATCTTCAGGGATGGACAGCATTAGTTTGCTCCTACTTTTGATAACATGTCTAAGTCTACACACATGCTTGTGAGTAAAATTTAATTAAAAATAATATAAAAGAAACTTATTATTTTGTTCGTCGAAAAGAATCGATATAAAAAGTCGTTTTTTGCAAGCTTTTATTTTGTTGATTTAACCCTCTGTGTGAAATACCTTAATAATTAATTATCGTACTTGTTCGTGAATATAGCCTCATACTAGTTTTATAAATTCTATGTCAATTATGTCAATATTACAAAAAAATATAATAATTTGTTTTAGTTTGTTCATTTTTTAATAAATTTAAGGGAGGTTACGGAGCTAAATATGCGAAAAATGGCAGTTTTTGAGAGAATCAATTATCCAATTTGAATGATTCAAAAAAAACATGCTGCTTGTGTAGACGAAATGATTGCTTTTGGAGAAAAACATGTTTTTGTTTCACTTTTTTTTAATATTCAAAAAAAAATTTTTTTTAACTACATTTTATTCTCAATTATTTCATTTTGGGACGGAAAGTACCAGCAATTTGCCTTAAGGCACGATGCCATACACCATTAGTTTTCATTTTAGTCAGTACTCAAAATTATGAATTTTAATATTATTAAGGTTTGTCACACAGAGGTTATCTGAGGAAAGAATAGATTATATAATTTTTTATTGAAAATCTCAAATTTTTATTTCGTAGATATTCTAAGATATTTATTATGGTTTAATTAATAATATTTAAAAAACAATAAAGCATTACTGAAAACAACTAAACAGTGATTACATGACTTTAGTTTATAATATAATTTCCTCAAAATCACATTGATTTTCCAAAATATGTTAATATTTAAAATATTTGAATTATTATTTAATTTTTTTGTAACACAACAAAACAGTTGCAAAATGGTACAAAATTTTTATTTACAATGTGATTTTTACGACAAAAAAGTAAAATTAAATTAAAATATATTGATATTATGTTTTTTCAAAACATATTTTTAGACATGTAATCTTTAAATTGTTTAAATTAATATATTAAATACATATTATAGAATAAATATTAGCAAAAAGTTATGTAAATTGATATACTTTTCTTTATAATATGATATTTTTAAAATCAGATTGAGGTTAGGTTTTTTCAAAAATCTATTGTTTGCACTGAAAACATGTGTAACTATTACCTTACCATTACATATATTTTTAAATTCGATACAAGAACATTATTTTGTATTTAGTATTGCTTAATATAATAATTTACGACAAAAAAAGTAAAAATTAAAATAAAATATATTGAGGTTATGTTTTTTAAAATATATTTCTAGACATTTAATCTTTAAATTATTCAAATTAATATATTAAATAAATGTTATAGAATAAATATTAGCAAAAAGTAATGAAAATTGATATACTCTCTTTTATAATGATATTTTTGAAATCAGATTGAGGTTAGGTTTTTTCAAAAATCTTTTCAAATGTGTAACTAGATTATTAAGGTTTGTCACACACAGTTTAGCATTATTATTATATATTTCATTGTGCTTTTTTTTTCCTTTTAGATCTGCAAATGCAAAACCTCGTCTAGGAGGCGGCAAAGAAAATTTCAGGGCCAAAGAAAAGCAAGTTCTGGACCAAATTTTAGGCCCTGGCCATTACGATGCCAGGATAAGGCCTTCTGGAGTCAATGGAACTGGTAAGTCTTATCCGACTAATTCTTATAAAATTTTTAAATTATTTTTTTATTTATTTACACAATCTGGATTTATTCGAAACCCAATTATTTTTTATTTAAAATTTGATAATTATTATTTATAAATTTATATATTTATGCGTATTTAAAACATATATGTATATGTATATTAATTTTATATGGCTTTGTGATAGCTATGAAGTTGGCAATTTGTGGTTTTAATGTTGGTAGTTTGTGGTTTTGATAGTTGGTTTTGAGGTTAAGCGTGATGATTTATCGGTGTTGTATTTAAATATATATTAGTCATTATAAAACGAGATATAGTAATTATATAAAATACTTTGATATATAATTTTCCAGTAAAATTAATTGTTAATAATTTTGAAGATTTCTTTTCTTTTCTTTTTTGTTTTTTTGCCTAAAAAAATTACAATTTAATTTTAGTTAATTTTACTTAATTTACTTAATTTCACAATTATCAATCTGTTACTTTTAAAATAAAACTAAAAATCACAATAACAAATTAGATTTTTTAATAATTTAACTATTGTCGTCTATCGGCGACACTCGTACACACAGGTCGTTAAACGATATTATTATTATTTTATATTAGAATACTAAAACTTTTTAATAAAACGTACAAAATATTTGACTTTTTTCATAAATATCATTTTTTTAAATTTATTTTATATATATTTATTTATTTATATATACTCACCTAACCTTAAAATTATATCTTCAGAACTCACGCTACCAACATCAAAATACTAAATTAGTGTTGCCATATGAGAAAGAAATTATTATAACCTAAATACAAATATTTTTACTTGATCTTGAAATAATATTGTTATTAGTAAAGTAAATATAAATCTTTAAAAGATTTATAAACATATTAAAATTTTATAATATAATATATATATATATATATATATATATACAATATATTTATTTTTTTATTATTTCACTATTCTAAAATATTCTATTTAATTAAACGACCCCAACTTTTTTTGGGCGCGTTTTGCCCAATTTTTCTGCTTTTGGCCAAAATTTTAGATCTCAAAAACATATATACAACATGTTACTAAAAGTTTCGTCATTCTATCACAAAAAATAATACAAAATTTAAATTTTGTGACCGAAAATACTTTTTTTTGAAAAACCTAACCTCAATCTGATTTTAAAAAAAATCATATTATAAAGAAAAGTTTATCAATTTTCATGAAGTTTTTGCTAAAATTCCTTCTATAACATATATTTAATATATTAATTTAAATAATTTAAAGATTACATGCCTAAAATATGTTTTGAGAAAACATAACCTTAATATATTTTAACATAATTTCACTTTTTTTGTCGTAAATTATCATATTAAGCAATACTAAATACAAATTAATGTTCTTGTATCAAACTATAGAATATATCGAATATAGTTACACATGTTTTCAGTGCAAAAAATAGATTTTTGAAAAAACCTAACCTCAATCTGATTTTAAAAACATCATATTACAAAGAAAAGTTTATCAATTTTCATTAGTTTTTGCTAAAATTCGTTCTCTAACATATATTTAATATTTTAATTTAAAAAAATTAAATATTACATGTTCTGAAATATATTTTTTAAAAACATAACCTGAATATATGTTAATTTAATTCTACTTTTTTGCCATAAACAAACACATTATAAATAAATTTTTTGTACCATTTAACAAATGTTTTGCTCTGTTGCAAAAATAAATATTAATCCAAATAATTTAAATATTAACATATTTTTGAAAAAACCTAACCTCAATGTTATTTTGGAAAAATTATATAATAAACTATAAAGTATCACTTTTTTTGGTAATGCTTTATATTTTTACAAGTTTTATTAAATATTAATTACAATAATTTGAAGATTAAATATCTGGAAATTTATTTCTGAGAAATCTAATCTCAAAATATTTTTACATCTAAATTACTGAACGTTGATGTACTTAATTTTATCATTAAAAAAAATTGACAAACGAATTATTTAAAAAAAATGGTAAATTTATTGAACATAATCTTAATTTAATCATAAATAATTTCTTACTTTTCTCACATTCTCGGGTTACGAAAAATATTACAAGACTAAAACTGGCCAAATCGGTTCAGTCGTTTTTGAGTTTTAGCATACCTAACATAATGTCGAGCTCTATTTTCATATTTATATGTATATATATATATATATATATATATATATAATTATAAAATCATTTACAATAACGTAAATAACCCGACACCTCCCGTGACATCTGTCATGTGAACAGTTAATATTTGACATGTGTCACGCACAATTATGTCACTCAAAGATTTTTCATCACTGCCTACATTCCGAAGAATGTAATATTTTTAACATCAAAGCAAACGTTTCGAAATGCAGATGTTTATGCGTTTTTTATTTAAAGTTAAATTTAGTTTGGATGAACTGAATTCTGAGTAATTCATTACACAAATATATATATATATATATATATATATATATATATATATAATATATATACATTTTTATTAGAGTCGTTAATTTGATTTACCATTTGGTCTTTACTAGATTTCTTTCTGTGTAAAATGTTTCAAATGAATGCTTGCATATTAATGCCTATTCGATGAGATTTGACGAACTCACAAGGAGACTCTGAGGGTTATTCTGCCGGGATTTTGATGAAATTTTCCATGGTGATAGAGGTGATAGTCAAAATGTACACCTGAAAATATTATAGTCCTAGGAGAAGTGGTTTAATTTTAAAAATTAATTAAAGTTGCGAAAAATAGACCGCGCGCATATAATGTTCTGTATTAATATATTTGGGTATCTCTGTTGGTTTGAGCACTTGTTTCTAATTTTTACATTTGGTTTCATGAATAATAGGGTTATAAAATATCTGTAAAAATAATTTTTCGATAGGTAAATATTGCAAAACTATTTGTCATTATTAACTAACTACAACAATAATTGATACATTTGAAACAAATCAAAAAGTACATATATTATACGTATTAACCTTCTATAAAAGAAATAGATAACTTTTTTTGTCCATCGCTTATCTCTTAAACTGATTGAGCTACCCAGACATATTTATATGCAACACTGTCTAGTTCTTAAAACTTTATTTATTTTTTATAATTAAACCACTTCTCACAGGCCTATAATATTTTACGGGGTTTGTCCTGACAATCAAATCGATTACCATGTAAAGTTTCATGAAATTCAAAAAAATAAACCTGAGGTTCTCCTTGTCAGTATTATTATTATTATTAAATTATTATCAAAAAACCGCTATATTTATAATTTATATATTTCACAAAATTAATTCAAAATCATACATTTTATTTAAAAAAAAATTAAAATAACCAAAAAACTTGAAAAAAAAATATCATGTTTAAAAACGACAATTTTATGATTGTCGTGACATTCGGTTTTACAAATTTGATTTAAAAAACTTCTGTTAATTTTTTGTTGTAAATATTAAAATAATCTCAAGATCTAACGCGTATATATTTGTTGATTCTTATCCGATGATGTTTTTTATTAGTAATAATTATTAAATTTACTTAGAAAACTCATTTTGTTTAAAAAAGAAAATTAAATAACTAAAAAACTCATGCTCACGTACTTGTTACAGTTTAAAAACGACAATTTCATGATTGTCGTGACATTTGGTTTTGCAAATTTGATTTAAAAACTTTTGTCAATGTTTTGTAGTTTGATTTAAAAACTTTTGTCAATGTTTTTTAGTAAATTTAAAATAACCTCAAAATTCTAACGCGTATATTTTTGTTGAATCCTATCCGATGATGTTCTTTATTATAATTGACTTAGAAAACTTATT